TCAAAAATCTATGTACTTTACGCAGTTAATTTCGTCCGATTCAATTTCAATGGTCCTCCAAGGGACCATCTATATGATATTGTACAGGAGGTGATGCAAATGTGGTATACCCATTTGTTTTTAGATTGCCACATTTTTATTTTTTATCCGATTAAATTGATATTATACACTTAACATGTTAAATGTGTTGTCTTTCCATGTATCAATTTGAAAATAATATTATCCTAACAATTTAAGAGATATTTAAGAAAATATTTGAAATTCCATTCCCCATTCTCGATTTTAATTTTTCAAGATTTTCAATGGGCCTGTAAATCAATACCAATGCTTGTTAAGGTTTGTAACTTTGCACATATATATTTGAAGATTTAAAAAGGAAGAAAAATAATTTACAAAAATTTTTTGTTGTTGTTTTTTGTAATTAACAAGAAGTCCTTATTTTTTATGGCGGTCATGATAACTCCTCACTGGAACATCGGAATCCGAAAATTCCAACGGTGTTAGAAAGAGTATATGTCTGGCTCTCCTATGACCTAAAATTATTGACTTCGCTCTAAAATTGACAAAATGGCGGACCTTTGAAAAAATATTTTTGGAAAATCGCCGATTTTTGACCAAAAACCAAGATAACAAATAAGGAAGATCTTCACCGATTGGTTTTGTCCTAGTTCATACGATAGCTATACACTCACAGAGAAACGTGTAAAAATTTGGAATCGATTGGGTTATTAGTTTTTGACCTATCGTGCCCGCCATTCGCAAAAGAGAAAAACGGGTTTAAGGTTTGAGAAGCCCTTTAGCCTTCACTTGTTGCTGACACAATAAATCGGCTATATCTTCAAGAGTTCTTGAGATTTACACTTGAAATTTTGTAGGGACATTCTTGAATTAGTGTAGATTCGAATTAAATCAAAAAATTTTGACCCCGAGAATGGGGGGTCCCCTAAAAAAAAGTGCTGGTAATGTGGTATACAACATGATCTTAATGTGGTATAGTACAATTTTCACTTCCAATTGATATCTTATATAATTTATTGTTTTTAATGAATGCCAATTAGCTTGAGATTTATGTCTGTTGAGATTTTTAACCGGTACGTTAGGTGGAACTTTAATTTTTATTATATAATAATGTCTACACATGGCAATATTTAATTTTTGTATGGAGAAGTTGTTAAAACTCATAGCCTTTATTTTTCATCCTTGTGATTCATGGTAGACTCTCGTAGAGTACAAATGTTTCAAATAGTAATGAGATTTAGTTTTTTTCCTAAATTGGTAAATATGTGTCGCAATCGCGCATATTATTTGATTTTTAGTACTTACTAATTATTTTAATGCTTTAATAATAAAGATTAAAATATTTCTGTAAAACAAATAATTATTTTTAAACTTCAACCGAAAAAAAGTCAATTTCATGAAAAATTTAATTTTTGGTACTGATTCTCAACGTGAGTATTAAGTAAATTAAACAGAACATTGCTATCTTATTTTTTTGAGAACAGCAAACTATAGAACATGTTTCAGTTATTCTAAAATTTTCAGTTTACAAAAAAGTGACTATTCCACATTACCAACCTATACCACATTTGCATCACTTCCTATACATATGAGCATCTCTTGTAAGTGGTGAAGGGTATCATATAGTCGGCCCTGTCCGACTTTTTATACCCTACACAACTATGTTGTCAGGGTATTATAGCTTTGTGCAGCCCCAAAAGTTTGTAACGCCGCGAAATATTGCTCCTAGACCCACCTTTAAGTATACCGATCGTCATATCTCGACTAGCTGAGTCGATCTAGACATGTGTGTCCGTCCGTCCGTCCGTCTGTCCATTATAATTTGTAAACACGATACAGGCCACAGTTATGGACCAATCTTCACGAAATTTTGCATGTAGGATGGTTTGTGGCCAATGAAGACCCCTATTGTTTTTGGGAAAGGTCGGTTAATATTTAGGGGATGAAATGGACCAAATACTAAATTTTTGTCGGTTTTTCTGGTCGCTCCAGAGGCCGCAATAATGGCTCGAACATCTTGAAATTTTGCATGAAGAAGGGGATCAGGCCAAAGAATAAGCATGCATGTTTTGATAAAGATCGGTCAATATTTAGCGGGTCAAATGGACCCTGACTTTTGTGTGAAAAATGACAAAATTATTATACTATGGCATATATATTTATCCCTGAAGGACATATACCCGAGAAGTTGATATTATATCCAAGAGGAGTGGTTGACCTTTAAATTAAGACCAATTATATTGTTGTATGTGCTCGGATGAGAGAGTTACACTTAAATGTTTACAGTTATCTCCGTATTTGTATATTATTTAGTAACCCATTATCACTCTGGAGAGCTGAACTATAGCGCTGATCGCTTTGAAATGTTCCATGAGGTTCCAGTTATGGTCAAGGACAACGCCTATAATTTTCGGTGATGACCAGATAATAATTTTGGAATGAAGTGGACCGAAAACTTAATTTTTTGTGTTATTTTCGAGTCGATCTATAGACCACAAATGAAAGCCGAACATCACAACACAACCCACGGTGAAGGGAATCTGGACAATAGCTGTACTGAATACTCGTAATATTCGGAAAAGTGTGAGGAAGAGGTGCTGTTTACCTCTAATCGGGCAAGAGGGTGCAAATATCACGAAATATTGCCCGGGCTCGGAATAAACATCCGAAAAAAATTTGAGTTCCGTGGTAGTTGTGTAGGGTATCGTATGGTCGGCCCCGTCCGACTATACTGCTCCGCTCACTGGTTATTATTATTATGTCTTTGTTCATATGTTTGTAACAGGCAAAAGGAATCGAGATAGACCCATGGTTCCCTTTGGGAATATGCATAGAATCACTTTCTGAGTCGATTTATGCATGTCCATCCGTCCGTCCGTCTGTTGATGTTAAATTGTAAACAAAGTACAGGTCGCATTTATAATCCGATTTGGCTGAAATTTGGTACAGCTCATTTATTTGGCCCAAGGACGAACCCTATTGAAATTGGGAAAAATCGGTTCAGATTTAGATGTAGCTCCCATAAATATTTTTGCCCGATATTCGGACTTTAGTCGCTGCAAATCATTCGATTTGCACAAATTTTGGCATAGCGTACTGAATTAAGTCTAGAAAGACGTGTGCTAAGTTTTGTGAAAATCGGCTCAGATTTGGATATACCTCCCATATATAGTTTCGCCCGATTTTTAGTAAATGGTGCACCAAAGTCCCTGAAAATCTTTCGATTTGCACGAATGTTGGCATAGCGTACTGAATTAAGTCTAGAAATATGTGTGCTAAGTTTCGTGAAAATCGGTTCAGATTTAGATATAGTTCACATATATAGTTTCGCCTGATTTTAGGTAAATGGTGCAGCAAAGTCCCTGAAAATCCGTCGATTTGCACGAATTTTGGCATAGCGTACTGAATTGAGTCTGGAATGATGTGTGCAAAGTTTCGTGAAAATAGGTTCAGATTTAGATATAGCTCCCATATATAGTTTCGCCCGATTTTATGTAAATAGTGTACCAAAGTCCCTATATATATTTCGATTTTGGGATAGCGTACTGAATTAAATCTAGAATGATGTGGGCAAGGTTTCATGATAATCGGTTCAGATTTACATACACCTCTATATATATTTCCGTCCGATTTTAAGTAAATTGTGCACTAAAGGTCAATAGCTAGGCCGATTGACACAACATAATGAAGGTAATATAAATTAATCTCTGATAAGTTTCCTTGAAATCGGTTCAGATATAGATATAGCATAGCTTCCATAGATAATTTCGACTTATTCATGTTAATTGTATACCAAATAATCAATGCGTGTCTGATTGAGATTAAACTATAAACAGTGTAGCATCCCGTATAGTGTGTGTCAAGTTTGCTTTAAATTGGTTTACAAAATTTAGCATAGGTTGCAGAATGACATGTGTAGGGATTGATGTGAGTCAGTTCAGATATAGATAAAGATCACATATTTAAGTTCGTTCAATTTCATGTAAATTTTCCTTCGAAAAATCGACGTCTTTTAGGATACATATGTTGAGTATACCCAAAGTGGTGAAGGGTATCATATAGTCGGCCCAGTCCGACTATACTACTTTCCTTACTGGTTTTTACTTGTGTTTATTTTGGTTTCTCAATGTTTTAAATACACCCCTGAAGTAAATTATTAAAATAGACCAATAATTTGATAAAAACCCAAAAACGGTTCTTTCCCAATTTATGTATTTAAAAATCCCTGGTCGATGTAAATTAGTGAAGGGTATAACATGTTCGGACCTTAGTCTTCTCATTTAACCAAGCATATACTCGTATTTAATATTTGAGAATCGGTCCACACTTAGTGGCTATACGATATGCGAAAATTAGTTAAAATCAATTACTTACTTCGTGAGATATCGTGGACCCTAACCCCCCATACAGATGTACAGAATTCGATTTTCTCACAAAATACTTGGCATCTAAAGCCGCTTTAGCTATAAGACAGAGATTATAAAATAAGTGATTAAAACTTAAAAATAGGGAGATGAACCAAAATGAGTATCTATATGGCATTTTTTTGAGGAGAGATCCTCCTTATAGAGCGTTATAAAAATGAGTTGATTTCTATAAATAGAAAAGTAAAATGTCAATTTTTATTTTACGAAATTGTAATATAATTCAGAAAATATTTAAATCCCAATTATTTTACACTTGTTAGCCCACTGATTTTTGACTGATTAATCATCAAATGTGTAAGCAATACTTTGTTTCACACACCATCTTAATATTCAATTAACGTTCAGAATCCGCACTTTAAAGTTACACTTTCAAATTTTGATATTTAAATCGAACACACAAACTATTAGTATTGGTGTACGCCGAACTGTTTTATTTGTTTTAAAAATAATTTAATTTTTCATATAAAAGACTAGCTACGCTTGACAAACGACACAGTTCAAAACCATATTTGGTATTTAGGGCATATCAACCAAACAACCCCAAACAGTATTAAAATGGCATTTAAAGTAAGAAGGATAACTGAACACAATACGGATATACACAAACTCTACGAAATATGTACTTGGATAATGGATATTAATTGCGGAATTATTTATTTATTCTTTCTAGTTCGTCACTTTGTTCGCTGCTCTCGTAGCTGTTGCCAACGCCGGTGTTGTCCCAGCCACCCCATTGGCCGCCGTTGCCAAGTTCGAGGAATACGACCCCCATCCCCAATACTCGTACGGTTATGATGTTAAGGATGCCATCTCTGGTGACTCCAAGACCGCCGTGGAGACCCGTGATGGTGGTTTCGTTCAAGGTCAATACTCTTTGAATGATGCTGATGGTTACAGACGCATTGTTGACTACACTTCCGACCCTATCAACGGTTTCAATGCTGTTGTCCGTCGTGAACCTTTGGTAGCTGCTGTTGCCGCTGCTCCTGCTCCAGTTGTTAAGGCTGCCGTTGCTGCTCCCTTCACCTACGCCGCTGGCGCCCCTATCGTCAAGGCTGCCTACGCTACCGCTCCTTTCACCTATGCTGCCCCAGCTGCCTATGCCGCCGCACCCGTAGTTAAGACTGTTGCCCCAGCTACCTTCGGTTATGCTGCTCCAGCTGCTTATGCCGCGGCCCCAGTAGTCAAGACTGTTGCCCCAGCTACCTTCGGTTATGCTGCCCCAGCTGCTTATGCCGCTGCTCCTGTCGTTAAGGCTGCCGTCTCTGCTCCCGTTGTTGCTGGCCCAGCTGTTGTGAAGACTAGCTTCGCATCTCCTCTTATCTCTTATGCTTATTAGATAAAAACGGATTCGACTGTGATCGTTAGTTGTTATAGCTGAATAAAGAAATATGATGAATTATTTTTTATTGAAAATTTCGAATTTTTATACCCTGACCGACCGTTTTTCTGTTGTTATTACCCAACCTTCGGAAGGGATTAGAAAGGAGTGCAGACATTTAGTTTTGATTTGACTTTGGTTTAATGTCAGGTCAAATGTATAAATAGGCTATATAATTCCATGTCTAGTCATATCTTCCATATAACGGCACCCCTTAAATTTGCTGTATTCGATAGATTCTGAACGCGTTTTTCGTCCGAATTGGCTGTCATTTAATATTATGACTTCTATTTAGATACACGGTTTGGGCCCCATATAACGGTATCTCCCAAATTTCTTGTTCCAATGAAATGGGCTGTAATTTTACACTTTGACATATTTATAGGGGTAGGAAATCTCACTCATTAATATCGGTAATGTTTCGTGGTAGACCCCTCTATAACGGCATCCCTCATATTTCGGTATTCTGGTAATTTGTTGGCACATTTTCAACCGCATTAGCTATAATTAGATCTTATAATTTCTCCGTGGGTCTCTAACATTTCTACCCAAACTTATCAATATAGTGTTTTCAACCGAATTTTCTGTAATTATTATTTTTGGTTCTCTTTCAATCCTTCCCCCAAGTTTCGCTCCCAATTTCGATATACATACCAACGATCACGATTAGTTTATAAAATGGCTTTCCGAGATCTTGATGGATGAACAACTTATTCACAGAAAATGTTCAATATACGTCCATATTTTTACAGCGCCCTCAGAGAAGGGTCACGCAAATAACTATGGCATAATCCTCATATAAAGGTCTCAATTAATTTTAGATGTGGTGGTGGATATAAAAAGTTCGAAAATACTACAATAAAAGTTATTGAGAATTTTGAAACATTTTTATTTGTTTTTTTTTTTTTTTTTTTTTTGTAAACCAGAAAAAATGAATCGATATTGTCCAATTTGGTACTTTTTTCATTTCGATGGAATGTTATGGACGAAATTTCTTAAGAATATACTGAAGTAAAAACAGCATGGACATTTCTTAAGTCGATTACAAATTGTATAAAACGGATTTGGCCACAGGCATAAGAAAATATTATGGCTGTTTAACTTAAACAAATATGTATGTAGAACCCTTACACAAATGTAAATCCCCAAAATAAAATTCTCTTCAATTAAATTAATTCACCACATTTATTTATTCAGCTATAACAACTAACAATCACAGTCGATCCGTTTTTATCTAATAAGCATAAGAGATAAGGGGAGATGCGAAGCTAGTCTTCACAACAGCTGGGCCAGCAACAACGGGAGCAGCGACGGCAGCCTTAACGACAGGAGCAGCGGCATAAGCAGCTGGGGCAGCATAACCGAAGTGGGCTGGGGCAACAGTCTTGACTACGGGAGCGGCAGCATAAGCAGCTGGGGCAGCATAGGTGAAAGGAGCGGTAGCGTAGGCAGCCTTTACGACAGGGGCGGCAGCGGCATAGGTGAAGGGAGCAGCAACTGCGGCCTTAACAACTGGAGCAGGGGCAGCAACGACGGGAGCAGCTACGGCAGCCTTGACAACGGGAGCAGCGGCAACAGCAGCAACCAAAGGTTCACGGCGGACAACAGCGTTGAAACCGTTGATGGGGTCAGAGGTGTAGTCAACAATACGTCTGTAACCATCAGCATCATTCAAAGAGTATTGACCTTGAACGAAGCCACCATCACGGGTTTCAACAGCGCTCTTGGAATCACCAGAGATGGCATCCTTAACATCATAACCGTATGAGTATTGGGGATGGGGATCGTATTCCTCGACCTTTGCAACAGCGGCCAAAGGGGTGGCTGGGACAACACCGGCGCTGGCAACAGCTACGAGAGCAGCGAACAAAGTGACGAACTAGAAAAAAATATAACGAGGATAAATTGTGCTTTTATTAATATCCAATATCCATATCAGGTTATGAGAGATGTATCCTTAAAATGTCGATTAATCCTTACTTTGAATGCCATTTTTATAATGTTTGGGGTTGTTGTGATTGATATGCTCGAAATACCAAAAATGGATTTGAACTGTGTCGTTTGTCAACTAGTGCTGGACTTTTATATGAAAAAACGTATAAACAAAAACTCGATTTAAAGTCGTTTTCAACTACATATGTATGTGTAACAGTACTCTTTAACAAACATAAAATGTAACATTGAACTAGTGCTTATAAACGGTAGTTGAATTTTAATACACTAATACATTGGCAGCCGTTTTCAATACAAGTAAACGGAGCTTAGGGGTTTATGAACTTTTTTATTGTAAAGTGGTGCATACGATAGATTCCAATAACGTGTCGTGTGTCTCTAATATTGGGATAGGTCAACAGATGAATTGACATTTTTTCGTAAATATTTTAATTTGATGAAATAATAAAATGAGTCATCAGAACATCTGTGAATCCGATGTACTAAATTTATATAAAAACATGTACCCATTCAATATACGATAACAATTTTGACTTTTTATTTTGTGGATGTGGTTTTGTTTGTTGACTTAGACTTACTGTCACAATAGATGTCATTCTTATGTCTCGTGCATATGTTTGTAATAAGAAAAATGAAACGAGATAGACACATGCCTTTTGATAATATGCATAGAATGACTTTCTGTGTCCGTACGTATGTCCATGTATTCTTGTGGTCGATTTTGATGAAATTTGGCACAAGTCACATATTCGGCCCAAGGACGAACTCTTTTGAAAGAAAATCGGTTAAAGTCCAGTTTAATGTTTGTGAAGTTTTGTTGAAAAAGTTTCGTCCGATTTTATGTAACTGGTGCACCAAACTTTTCCGATCGAAACAAATTTTTGAGCAGCGAACTGAATTATCTCCATATAGACTAATGTGAAGTTTTGTTAGAATGGGTTCAGATTTAGATATAGCTCCCATATATATTTTCGTCCGACTTTATATAAATGGTGCACCGAAGAGCTTTTGTTTGTTCGATTTACACGAAATTTAGCAGAGGTGAGTCCAAATACGGCTTCGGGCCAAAGGACGCAACATACACTGAATTTTCAGATTTTGTTGACCACTCTTTAATTACTTGAGAATTCTCAGAAGCCCAAATACGAAAATTTTCTTAACATACCCACCGAAGAATTTTGGCCTCTCTTTAATTACTTGAGGATTCTCAGAAGCCCAAATACGAAAATTTTTTTAACATACCCACCGAATAAGAAATGTGCTTCATCGCTGAAGATTTTTTTCCAAAATAGCCACGTTATAAATGATCAGTTGGTTTCAGTTTTTGTCTGAGCTGGCCTTAGGCGTAGGTACTTCGGTACTATGGATGTATAGAGATGGTATTTACCGGGTAAATACCCAAGGGGTGGGGAAATACCGGGTAAATACCCATTTGCGGTTATTTATTTGGGTATTTACTATATTGAATCGGTAATACAACATCTTAGACCCTACGGGTTTCTGTTATCAAATCGATTTAGAATGGATAGTTTTACGATACTTTAAAAACGTGGGTAAATACTTGGGTAAATACCCGAGTTTTTACCCCAAAATTGGGTATAAACTCATTAACTGCCGAACCACTTTACATAGGCGGCCAAAATGTTGCATACATGTTTTTAATGTCAAAACAAATATAGAAATCTAAAATGGTCCCTGGGTCCAAGTTTTGATATAGCCCCCATATAATCGTATCTCCCGATTTAAGGTATTTTTTGTCAATTAGAAACATTTTACAACCAAATTGGCTGTAATTTGGCACAGAGTGTTCTTTTTGGGTACCAAATGTCCATGCAAAAATGTATGTATGTAGATCAATGTTTACTGGCAGCCCCCATACAAAGGTGCCCCTATTTTGAGTATTTACCCACTGTTCGAAGGCAAAAATGATTAACTGGAAAGAGAACAATGCTGTAGACATTATTTGCGCACCTGTCGGAAAAATGAATTAATGCAGATGCTACTGTAATGAATGATTAAGTTAATTTCTTTGGCACTAGAAATTTGAAGATCTAATTCACATTTTCAATCTGATTTAACATGGGTTTAGACCGATATCCATCGCTACAACAAAAAATCTGCTTTGAAATTGATCTTTTAAAGTGATGATACATTCGAATCATGATACGTCGGATATTATGACGATGTACAAAGTTGGAATATACGGATGGACATTTCAAATGGACTCCAAATTGTCTAAACCGATATTTCTATAAGTCTTTTTAGAAGTATGGGCTTTAATCCTAAGTGTTTAAACATTTGTTAAGAATTATTTTACCCATTGAGAACTCAACTCCATAATCAAAGGAGTAAATTGGGTTATTTTTCAAATAAAAAACAAATCGATAAGTTCAATTAAAATTAATTCATCACATATCTTTATTCAGCTATAACAATCACAGTCGTTCCGTTTTTATCTAATAAGCATAAGAGATAAGGGGAGATGCGAAGCTAGTCTTCACAACAGCTGGGGCAGCAACAACGGGGGCAGCGACGGCGGCCTTAACGACAGGAGCAGCAGCATAAGCAGCTGGGGCAGCATAACCGAAGTGGGCTGGAGCAACAGTCTTGACTACGGGAGCGGCGGCATAGGCAGCTGGGGCAGCATAGGTGAAAGGAGCGGTAGCGTAGGCAGCCTTGACGACAGGGGCGGCAGCGGCATAGGTGAAGGGAGCAGCAACTGCGGCCTTAACAACTGGAGCAGGGGCAGCAACGACGGGAGCAGCTACGGCAGCCTTGACAACGGGAGCAGCGGCAACAGCAGCTACCAAAGGTTCACGGCGGACAACAGCGTTGAAACCGTTGATGGGGTCAGAGGTGTAGTCAACAATACGTCTGTAACCATCAGCATCATTCAAGGAGTATTGACCTTGAACGAAACCACCATCACGGGTTTCAACAGCGCTCTTGGAATCACCAGAGATGGCATCCTTAACATCATAACCGTACGAGTATTGGGGATGGGGATCGTATTCCTCGACCTTAGCAACAGCGGCCAATGGGGTGGCTGGGACAACACCGGCGCTGGCAACAGCTACGAGAGCAGCGAACAAAGTGACGAACTAGAAATAGACATAAAATTAATTTATTAATATCCATTATCCGAAAGACTGTATCCTTATTGTATGTTTAATCCTTACTTTGAATGCCATTGTAATAATGTTTAGGGTTTGTTTTGATATGCTCGAAATACCAAAAATGGATTTGAACTGTGTCGCTTGTCAACTAGTGCTGTACTTTTATATGAAAAAACGTATAAAAAACCCGATTTAAAATCGTGTTCAACTACATATGTATGTGTAACAGTACTCTTTAACAAACTTTAAGTGTAACATTGAACTAGTGCTTATAAACGGTAGTTGAATTTTAATACACTAATACATTGGCATCCGTTTTCAATACAAGTAAACGGAGATCAGGGGTTTATGAACTTTTTAATTGTAAAGTGGTGTATACGATAAATTCGAATAACGGGTCGTGTGTCTCTAATATTGGGATAGGTCATCAAATGAATTGACATTTTTCGTAAATATTTTAATTTTAGAATCACACGATGTACTGCATTTATATAAAAACGTATACCCAACCAATATGCGAGAAGTAAAACATTTGGGTTTCTACTTTGTCGATGCGTTGCCATTCTTAATATCTGAACCATAAGACTATTGGGAATGAAGTTCGTATTCCTAAAGGGGTAATTAGAAGAGTTTAACAAATAGTGATTCGCTACGAATAATTGTGGTTGACTTTGTAAACTCTGCGGCTATACCAAAGCGGTGAATTTTGATAATTTTGGGTATTGAAATTTGACAGGCAAAGAGAATACAAATTACAGCCAATTCAGTTGAAAACGTATCCAGAATTCCCAAAAATACCGACTTTGGTAAATATTAATAATTTTTGTACAGAAATAAATAATTTTAGTGCAATGACTTGAATCAATATTAATAATTTTTGGTGAAATGATATATTATACAAAACTCCAAAATGACAGTGACGAAATGGTGGTCGTCTAACCGCTTTGGAACAAAGAGCGCACTAAACAGTGATTTTTTCTGGATGTAATGACCTCTCTTTAATTACTTGTAGTCCAAATATGGCAATTTCGTTCATTAACAATGTTCTTCACCGATGAAGAATATTTTATTTCAAAATTACCGTCCACCGCCTGTTGTTCAAGCAACCATTCCACCTGCCTACAGGTGGTTTCTTTTTTTTTTGGGTGAGCTGGACTTTACACTCGCTCCAGTCTCCTCAAATTTCTTTACAATTTTACCACTTTACCCATGATATGTGACTGTGGCAGAATCTCCATTTTTATACCCTTCACCACACTGTGGTACAGGGTATTATGTCTTTGTACATATGTTTGTAACAAGCAAAAGGAAATGAGATAGACACATGGTTCCTTTTGAGAATATGCATAGAATCACTTTCTAAGTTGATTTATGCATGTCCGTCCGTCTGTCTGTCTGTCCATGTTAAATTGTAAACAAAGTACAGGTCGCATTTATGATCCGAATTGGATGAAATTTGGCATAGGCCACTTATTCGGCCCAAGGACGAACCCTATTGAAATTGGGAAAAATCGGTTCTGATTTAGATATAGCTCCCATATATATATTTATCCGATTTAATGTAAACGGTCCCTATATATCTTTCGATTTGCACGAAATTTGGTACAGCCCAATCATTTAGGTCTAAAATGATGTCTGCCAAGTTTCGTGAAATCGGTCCAGATTTAGATATAGCTCCCATATATAGTTTCGTCCGATTTCATGTAAATGGTGCACCAAAGTCCCTATATATCTTTCGATTTGCACCAAATTTGGCATAACGTACTGACTTGAGCCGAGAATTATGTGTGCCAAGTTTCGTGAAAATCGGTCCAGATTTAGATATAGCTCCCATATATATTTTCGTCCGATTTCATGTAAATGGTGCCCCAAAGTCCCTATATATCTTTCAATTTTCACGAAATTTGGCATAATATACTGAATTGAGCCTAGAATGATGTGTGCCAAGTTTCGTGAAAATCGGTCCAGATTTAGATATAGCTCCTATATATAGTTTCGTCCGATTTCATATAAATGGTGCACCAAAGTCCCTATATATCCTTCGATTTGCACGAAATTCGGCATAACGTACTGAATTGATCCTAGAGTGATGTGAAAATCGGTCCAGATTTCTATATAGCTCCTATATATAGTTTCGTCCGATTTCATCTAAATGGAAAACCAAAGTCGCTATATATCTTTCGATTTACACGAGTGATGTCTGCCTTGTTTCGTGAAAATCGGTCCAGATTTAGATATAGCTCCCTTTAATTATAGATTTATTTTAAGTAATTGACGCACCAAGGAACCAATAGGCTGATAGGAAAAAAACGTTCTAAAATTAGTATAACCTAACCTGTGACAAGTTTGTTTGAAATCGCTTAATATTTGGATAGAGCTTCCATATATATTTTCACTCGATTTCAAGTAAATTAGGCATCAAACTCTTCATGTTAGTCAGATTAACATCAAATTTTTGCACAACTTACAAACTTGAGCATAGAATTACGTAGTTGCGTTTTCTAGAAGTGCAGACATAGCCCAACGGATGACCTATTTATATTTGTTTGAAGTCGATTGACATACTTTATGGATAGATCTAGGTAGATTCACATTTAGATAAATATCACATTTCTTTCATCCAATTTTATGTTATAGTCCTGTTTAATATACCCATAGTGGTGAAGGGTATCATATAGTCGGCCCGTCCGACTTTACTACTTTCCTTACTGGTTTTTCAATCGAATTGTATATAATTTTGTCTATTCTATAATTTCGAATTATCATTGGATAGCAAATCTCCCTACCAAAAATTAGCGATATCTATCGAATTCGCCGTAATTTGGTATTTTGAGTTTCCAATGGGTATCAAATGTCCCTACCGACATTGGTCTACATGAGTGTCCCGAATGATTACAGGTATTTTAATTGTGCTTCTTATGGTGCAGGGTACAAAAGTTTGGCGCGGCCGAACTAATCTACGTTTATAATTTTTAAAAATAAGGTTTTATCTTCTATCTGAGACATTTCGACTTTTATACCTCAGTACAATACTTCAGTAGATATCCCAGAAAGCAATTCTGGTGTAATAAGAGGGATAGATCGTTACCAGATTATTATTACAATCAGGATTCTTCCTGTTCAATCCAGCAATCCTGATGAAAAAATAGTTAATACATCGCATGTTGAAATAAATGGCCGAATTTTGATTAGGACAATCCTTCTGAATTAAAGGCTTTGTACGTCTAACCTACATTTTTAAGCAGATTTAGGTTTGTGGTTCTGAGTGAGATGTGTTGCTGATATTAAAATTATCAAAGATAAGCAGGGTTTAATATGATTCTAGGTTCCCAGATGAAGGGAAATGCTGCCCCAACACTTAGGAGTTCAGAACCATCAACACACTTTAGAAGATTTTTACTGTTAATGTTACATATTATATATCGTGAAAGCAATTGTAAAATGTATGAACAAATATCCGTCGTTACAACAAAAAATTGATTTTTAAGGACAAATGTCGAAACTTGAGGTTTTTGAAATAAAAATTATTAATGTAATACATTTGTAAAACCGATTGTGCCTGATATACCTGACAAGCCGCTTTAGCAATGGCAAAACAGGTGCGTAGGTCCTTTATGAGAAGGTACTGTTATATGGAGCCTATTTCAAAACGTAGACCTAAATATACTGTTCTCAATATCACATTTAATGCAGGTTATGTAAAAATACCACGATGAACCATTTAATTTTTTTAGTAAACTACTTTTGTTTCCAATCAAATTTTACTAGTATTTAAAAATTGACACTTCAAGTCGAAGGTACCAGAGGTAGTGAACCGATGGATACCATAATAACACATGATATATTTATTTTTAAATATATCAGGCACTCAATTGGCTACATATTTCATTGCGTCATGTTTTCACGTTAAATATCTTCGGAATTTATTTATATAGGAAACAATATAAAGATGTAAAAAGTTGGGATGAATCGGCAGACGAATTTTTAAATCATTTAAAAATTGCCTGAAATGGATTTGAACCACTAAAACGTGGTTTCTAAAACCGATATTTCAATTACGATTATTTCTTTGTATTATGGGGATTAAGGCTAAGGTTATAAACATATGTAAAAATAGTTTGAGAACTCTAAATTCAACTTCATGATCAAAATATGGAGAGATAATCTCTCCCCATGTGAGTTTTTCAATAAAAACAAATCTATAACTTCAATTAAAATTAATTCATCACATATCTTTATTCAGCTATAACAACTAACAATCACAGTCAATCCGTTTTTATCTAATAAGCATAAGAGATAAGAGGAGATGCGAAGCTAGTTTTTACGACAGCTGGGCCAGCAGCGACGGCAGCCTTAACGACGGGAGCGGCAGCATAAGCAGCTGGGGCAGCATAACCGAAGTGGGCTGGGGCAACAGTCTTGACTACGGGAGCGGCGGCATAGGCAGCTGGGGCAGCATAGGTGAAAGGAGCGGTAGCGTAGGCAGCCTTAACTACAGGGGCAGCAGCGGCATAGGTGAAAGGAGCAGCAACGGCAGCCTTAACAACTGGAGCAGCGGCAACAGCAGCTACCAAGGGTTCACGACGAACAACAGCGTTGAAACCATTGATGGGGTCAGAGGTGTAGTCAACAATGCGTCTGTAACCATCAGCATCATTCAAAGAGTATTGACCTTGGACGAAACCACCATCACGGGTTTCAACAGCGGTCTTGGAGTCACCAGAGATGGCATCCTTAACATCATAACCGTACGAGTATTGGGGATGGGGATCGTATTCCTCGACCTTGGCAACGGCGGCCAATGGGGTGGCTGGGACAACACCAGCGCTGGCAACAGCTACGAGAGCAGCGAACAAAGTGACGAACTAAACAAAAAAATAAATCACCAATTAATATCCATTATCCAAAGAATTTCTGGTAGTTGAAGAGTTATATCCGCGTATTGTGTTCAATTATCTTTCTTACTTTGAATGCCATTTTAATAAAATTTGGGTTGAGTTGGTTTGATATGCTCTAAATACCAAATTTGGTTTTGAACTGTGTCGATTGTCAGGCGTACCTTGCCTTTTATATGAAAATAAAATTAAATTCCCAACCAACAAAGACACAACCGAAGACGTCGCCATGAATGTGTAGAAACAAACAAGCAAACAATAACACCAACAATTAAGTGTAATGTGTATTGAGAAAACACAACTTCTGAACGTTATTGGAATTTTAACATAGTACACTAATCCAAGTCAATCAATGTGAGTAGCACAGTGGTAACATGTGTTTTGTTTTGGTTTAGAATTATTACACTTTAGTATATATCCACTTATAATTGTCCCGCCCCATTTTCCATATTTTATGGTTTTAGCAGCATTTTCAAACTAAAGGGGTTGTCATAAGGAATTCTGGGTTCTTGGATCGTAAAAAATATCTTAACAGACATTTTCCATATAGGTCCATTGAAGGGTAATATACCTCTGCATACATTTGTCCACATAGATCCATGTTTAGCCAAAGTAGATAAGCCCAGCTCAATCTCGGTATTTTGGATGTAACTTGTCATTCTGGGTTCTTGGGGGATGAAAAACATATGTGCCGACTATTTTAGGTACTCGCCCATATTTTGACAAAGATCCCACCACAGTTCCATCAGCTTAATTCCATTATGTTGAAATTCCTAACCCAATTTTTCGAACTAAGTGTTAACAATTTTACAGTTATTTTTTTTCCAGAGCATTAGCAACGGATGAGCAGAATTTTTTGCAGCAACTTTTCCAATATTAAAGTTCCGATTGATTTAAGGAATTTTGAATGGAGTAGGGTATACAATTTTAGGTCCGGTTGAATGATGATACTTTCTTTATTCTTATAACTTATGTCGAATAATTTAAAATACTCACTAAACAATTACCATTTTTTAGTTTTTAACCACTGTGCAAAATTCCACATCCCAAAAAATTTAAGCAGTTACTTTCAATTGGTACGTGTTACAATGTTAAGTTTTAGGAAATGTATCTGGAGTTTATAACGGACTAAATGTATAACAAATAATACAGCAGACGACCTTGATTGGTACATTAACCTTGCCAATGCAGTGATCCAAACTGCATGATATTAACCCAAACTTCTAGTATTGAAAAATGCATAATCCGGTTGAATATCGTAGACGTCAAATCAAAGAAATATGTTATATTTTCAGCCTAAAAACTTTTTCGACGTGTCTCATAAACATATCTGTTTTAGACACCTAGTGTCGTTTTTAAAACAAAATTTTCAAATCTTATTCAACAAATTTATATTCGACCTCCGCATAAATTCCAAAATGTTCAAAATTTTCAAAGAAAAACAAGTAAAAAACGTCTTTAATTTCGGACATTGTTATGCATCCTACTAACACCCCAATCTCCTTATATGGGGCCTACTCGGAAAATGGACCTAAATTTATCATTTTTAATGGAAAGATTTGCTACCCAATAAAAACTCAAAGTACTAAATTACAGACCAAAATACCGAAAAATATGGGGGCTACTCGAATAAATGGGGGCTACAAGAATATATACATTTATAGGGTCGGAAATGATCATTTCGATCAGTTACAAATAGAAAAACGAAATTAATATACCCTCCATACTTTGGTGGAGGGTGTAAAAATACCAAATAAATTGAGGTAGGACTTTACAGCCTTACCTAAAATCAACTAGCTCGTTGACCCTTTACAAATTTCGTAGAAAATGCAGAAGGGGGGAGCGTTTATTGTTATATTGTTGGAAACTACAGTGTTTAGAAACATACCCTTTACAATTTTCGTAGACGATCCTGAAGTTCCCCCCTTAGCAATTTTCTTTAAAAATCAGAAGTCGGACCCTTTACAATTATCTTTTAAATCTTTTTTGTTACTCTTAAATTTTATAATTCTATCAGAGAGTAAATTTTGTAAACTTTTGATATGTAGTTAGAGAAGAATCTTATTTGATTCCAACATTGCATATTGAAAATATTTTCTAAATAGTTACCATCAACCGTGCGGCTAATAAGGGTCTTTGCACCAAATCCGTTTTAGATAATTTGGAATCGATTTAGGATGTCCTTTCGTCTGCCTGTAACCAGCCAATCAAATCGACAAACTCTTCTCGAAAGCAGTTACATATTTTATATGATATCAGAATATCTTGGTATCCGATATGATCCAAACTTTGCACATCATTTTATCAAACCTACTTTGAATCCAAAAATTAGATCTATCGGTCAATATTTTGAAACATTAAACATTTTGACACCTTGTGTATCTTACTGGAAATAATTATATATCCGTATGTCTGAAATTTATAAATATTTACAAGTGAAATATTTAATACTAGATTGAGTTCGATTGCTAAAGTCCTTCAAACAATTATTTAATAACCAGTGAGCAGGGCAGTATAGTTGGTCGGCGCCGAACATACGATACCCTACAAATGACCGATTAAATGTCAACAGCTCATCTATGGCATCATTTGACCCAACTAGAACGACTAGAAAATAGACACAAATAAAGTTTTCGGTCAATTTTATCCCCAAAATATCATCATCGAAAATTATAGGCGTAGTCCAGGGACATAACCTGAAACTCATGCAAAATTCCCTCCCTCTCAGCATTACATTTCCGCCCTTTAGTGTGTAAATGGTAATAATAAACAATATAAGACTAGATAGACCCCGGTAAAGTCAACCACTCCACTAGGATACACTATCAACTTCTCGGGTCAATATCCTTCATGTTTAAATATATACGCCATAGTATGCATATTTTGTCATTTTTTACCTTTTTCTGGGTCCATTTGACTCGTTAAATATGTATTGTCGGATCTTTAAAAAAACAGTCATGCTTATTCCACGATCAAACCCCTTTCTCTGTGTAAAATGTATTTATATATGCGGTCATCATTGTGGCCTCTAGATAGACCAGACGAAATAAAACAGATAAAAGTAAAGTTGTTTATCCATTTCAGCCCCTGAAAACTAACGGATCATTATCAAAAACAAAATGAGTCTTCTTTAGTCAGTATCGACCCTACATGCAAAATGTCGTGACGATAGGTCCATAACTGTAACCTGTATCGAGTTTACAAATTATAATGGACAGACTGACGGACACCCTGGTCTAGACCTACTTAGCTAGTCGAGATATGACGATCGTGGGTCTAGGACCAATATTACACGGCGTTACAAACACTTACGGCCACACAAAGCTATTTCTACAACATTCTCGTAGCGGTGTGGGGTATGATTAACCAGTAGCAACTCTCTTACGCCCACTTCGGTTGTACTTTCAAAAAATATATATAATGGCGTACAATGTAGACCAATATTGATAATTTGTAGGAAGATCTAATCATAAGGGTATATACTTCAGGTGATCTCCGACAAATGGTGGGGATAGAATTCTATAAATGTAAATTTCAAAAGTTCCTCTTTTGTAAACTTGCAATTCTCCAGACCATACATTCCACGTGAAACTAATGAGCCATAGAATGAAAATATAATTATGCAGACAATAGTAACGGTCCAATTAGTTGCAAAACATATATCTTATGCGCATGTGATATGATAGGTAAACCTTTCGTTAATTCTAGGGCACTATTTTGATCTCCATTAAGGGGACCCCCCCCCATTCTCGGGGTCAAAAATTTTGTTGATATAATTGGAATCTACACTAATTGAAGAATGTCCCTACAAAATTTAAAATGAAAATCTCAAGAACTCTTGAAGATATAGCCGATTTATTGTGTCAGCATCAAGTGACGGCTGAAGGGCTTCTCAAACTTTAAACGCGTTTTTCTCTAAACATTTTGTTGGGAATGGCGGGCACGATAACACAAAAACTTATAACCCAATCGACTTCAAATTTTTACACGTTTCTCTGTGAGTGTATAGCTATCGTATGAACTAGGATAAAGCCAATCGGTGAAGATCTTCCTTATTTTTAAACTTGGGTTTTGGTAAAAAATCGGCGATTTTCCAAAAATATGTTTTCAAAGGTCCACCATTTTGTTAATTTTGGAGCGAAGTCAATAATCCTAGTTCATACGAGAGTCAGACATGTACTCCTTCTAACACCGTTGGAATATTCGGATTCCGATGTTTCAGTGAGGGGTTATCATGCCCGCCATCAAAAATAAGGACTTTTCTTTAATTACAAAAAACAAAACAATAATAAAAATTTTTTGTAAATTATTTTTCTTCTAATTTAACTCTTCAAGTATATATGTGTTAAGTTACAAACCTTAACAAGCATTGGTTTTGATTTACCAGCCCATTGAAAATCTGGAAAAAATAAAATCGAGAATGGGGGGGTTCCCTTAATATCCATTTTTCAATTCCTTAAACCAAATGAGCATATTTCCCTATAAAAAATATCATTCACAATTTTCAATTAAAATTAATTCATCACATATCTTTATTCAGCTTTAACAACTAACAATCACAATCGTTCCGTTCTTTATCTAATAAGCATACGAGATAAGGGGAGATGCGAAAGTAGTTTTTACGACAGCTACAACGGCAGCCTTAACGACGGGAGCAGCAGCATAGGCAGCTGGGGCGGCATAGGTGAAGGGAGCAGCAACGGCAGCCTTGACAACTGGGGCAGGGGCGGCAACGACGGGAGCAGCAACAGCAGCTACCAAAGGTTCACGGCGGACAACAGCGTTGAAACCGTTGATGGGGTCAGAGGTGTAGTCAACAATGCGTCTGTAACCATCAGCATCATTCAAAGAGTATTGACCTTGGACGAATTCACCGTCACGGGTTTCAACAGCGCTCTTAGAATCACCAGAGATGGCATCCTTAACGTCGTAACCGTAAGAGTATTGGGGATGGGGATCGTATTCCTCAACATTGGCAACGGCGGCCAAGGGAGCAGCTGGGATAACACCGGCGCTGGCAACAGCTACGAGAGCAGCGAACAAAGTGACGAACTAGAAAAATACCAGAGAAGAAGATCATAAATTAATAAGAAATCCAATATCCAAGGATTGTGTTGTGGGCGTAGTCCAAATATCCGTTTCCGATTAATCCTTACTTTGAAAGCCATTGTAGTTAGGTTTAGTTTGGGTTGTTTTGTGGTGCTCTAAATACCAAAAGTGGATTTGAACTGTGTCGTCTGTTGGCTCTGCCAAGTCTTTTTATATGAAAATTACGAAAATGAAATTAAAAACAAAAGAGCCAAAAAATCAGAACACCCCAACAACACTAATACGCAGCCCCCACACAACAAAAATGCGTTGCGACAAAATTAAATTGTAAAATAAAACAACAACAAAAACCAACGCTCTGAGAAGCTCTGCTACGTTAATTGAATTTTAACGCATCCAATGACTTAGCCAATGTCCAGCCAAGTCATTTGTAGTTGTTTTTCAATTAAATAATATTATCGAATATTTGCGTCATAAATTTGTAGTAGTCGTCGTTGAAAACAAAACAATAACAACAGACATTAGAATAACCAGTATTTTCCATGTCATTACTTCTTAAGTAGCAAAGCAATACCAAATTTGGTAATATCAATTCAAAAGAAGTACAAAACAAAGTGTCAAATAATTGGGCATAACCAAGAAGTTATTAAACTCAATAAGACATTCCAGTGTCACTAACATTAAAAGTGATTTGAAATTTAGGAAGGTTTTAATGAATGGAAATAAAGTAGTGTGGCAAATTGAAAAAAAAATGTTTTTATTTGTTCCTTATTGAGAAATTGAGCAAAATATTTTAAATTCGAATATTTCTACCGACTCCTTTTGCAAATGGAGTGCCCGATATGATCCAAGTTTGTACATCGTAATATTTTTACCCAACCTACTTCAATTCTGAATATGGGATTCACTTTATAGGGACAAAATTTGTCAAAAATTAAAAAAAAAGTGTGAGAATGAAGGAACATCAAAATGACATCAACAAAGGAACGGAAAAAACAGCACTCTCACAGCACATTAAAGAAACTGGCCACACAGCTGATTTCAAGAATGTGAGAATCTTAGACAAAGCTAAAAACGAAAACAAAAGATACACACTTAATTTCAACAACAATTGACAGATCCATTTGTGTGGAAGACAAAGACAATACTAAGCTTCAGTATTCAATTGCAAACAGTTCTGTGATATATTTATTTATTTATTAACTGTGATTTTATTTATTTTATTATTTAATTTATTATTTATTTTATTTAAATGTTGTGGAGTCCCGTTTTTTTAATTTAAGTAAATAATAAACAAAATGAAAAATAATTAAAGTAAGTTAAAAAATAAGTGCAATATATATTGAAAAGAAATTATAATTTTTATTTTGTCAATAGATCAATAAAAAACGCTCTTGAAAATGTTGGAAAAAAGCCAACGAAACGTCGAGCAAAATATGAAATAAAAGCCAGTTTTTATTTTCATCAAACACCTGACCAAAAAAGCCCAACAACAAAGTATCAATGATTAATAAAATTACAAAAATTGGTCAATAACATACATAAGAAAAAATATTCATTTAAAAAATCCACACCTTTTGGCTCCTGCAAAAAATATGTCAATTAAAAAACCACATTTTAGTTCAAATCGGATACCGTTCACATGATAAAAAATTAATTTAAAAACAACATTTTGGCTATTTTGTAATTGGGTCCTTGAAAAAATGACCAATGGGTCCAAACTTCCAACATTAATTAATTTTGAAAGAAACATTACGATACTAACATTAGCAATAAGGCAGGGTTTTTAAAGACTATTTTTGGCGAACCCACATAACTTTAGGCGTGAATTTTTAAGAACTGTTTTTTATATATCTTTTTGTCTTTATTTTCATGAGCCGCAAACTAAATACTAGAAAGTGAGATTTTTACTACCAAATACTCTACAAACCCGGTATAATTATTCCATGAATCCACACCTGAAAATCCACGCCTTTATTTGGTCCTTGAAAAAATATTCATTTAAAAAATCCACACCTTAATTGGGTCCTTGAAAAAATATTCATTTAAAAAACTAAACCTCGGTTGTTCCTTGAACAAAAAAAAAATATGTATATATAAATAAACCACGTCTTGTATGAAATCGAGTAAAATTATGTATGGGAGCTATATATAAACAAATTGACCTAATTGAGTAACCGTTGCATACACCATTTATTCACTCTATATTCAATTTAATACCCTCTGCCAAATTTCGTGTAAATCGAACAAACATAGGCCCTTCGGTGGTACAGGGTATTATGTCTTTGTGCATATGTTTGTAACAGGCAAAAGGAAACGAGATAGGCACATGGTTCCTTTTGAGAATATGCATAGAATCACTTTCTAAGTCGATTTATGCATGTCCGTCCGTCCGTCTGTCTGTCCATGTTAAATTGTAAACAAAGTACAGGTCGCATTTATGATCCGAATTGGATGAAATTTGGAATAGGTCACTTATTCTGCCCAAGGACGAACCCTACTGAAATTGGGAAAAATCGGTTCAGATTTAGATATAGCTCCCATATATATATTTAACCGATTTAATGTAAACGGTCCCTATATATCTTTCAATTTGCACGAAATTGGGTACAGCCTAATAATTTAGGTCTAGAATGATGTCTGCTAAGTTTCGTGAAAATCGGTCCAGATTTGGATATAACTCCCATATATAGTTTCGTCCGATTTCATGTAAATGGTGCACCAAAGTCCCTATATATCTTTCGATTTGAACCAAATTTGGCATAACGTACTGAATTGAGCCTAGAATTATGTCTGCCAAGTTTCGTGAAAATCGGTCCAGATTTAGATATAGCTCCCATATATAGTTTCGTCCGATTTGCTGTAAATGGTGCACCAAAGTCGCTATATATCTTTCGATTTGCACGAAATTTGGCATAACGTACTGAATTGAGCCTAGAGTGATGTCTGCCAAGTTCAGATTTAGATATACCTCCCATATATAGTTTCGTACGATTTCATGTAAATGATGCCCCAAAGTCCCTATCGATTTGCACGAAATTTGGCATAACATACTGAATTGAGCCTAGAATGATGTCTACCAAGTTTCGAGAAAATCGGTCCTGATTTAAATATAGCTCCCATATATAGTTTCGTCCGATTTCATATAAATGGTGCACCAAAGTCCCTATATATCCTTCGATTTACACGAAATTTGGCATAACGTACTGAATTGAGCATAGAGTGATGTCTGCCTTGTTTCCTGAAAATCGGTCCAGATTTAGATATAGCTCCCTTTTATTATAGATTGATTTTAAGTAATTGACGCACCAATGAACTAATAGGCTGATAGGAACAAAGCGTTCTGAAATTAGTATTACCTAACCTGTGACAAGTTTTTTTGAAATCGCTTAATATTTGGATAGAGCTTCCATATATATTTTCGCCCGATTTCAAGTAAATTGGGCATCAAACTCATCATGTTAGTCAGGTTGACATAAAATTTTGCACAACTTATAAAATTGAGCATAGAATTACGTAGTTACGTTTGTGGAAGTACAGACATAGCCTATTTATATTTGTTTGAAGTCGATTTACATACTTTATGGATAGATCTAGGTAGATTCACATTTAGATAAATATCACATATTTTATTTCATCCAATTTCATGTTAATAGTTCTGTTTAATATACCCATAGTGGTATATTAAACAGAACTATTAACATATAGTCGGCCCCGCCCGACTTTATTACTTTCCTTACTGGTTTTATTTCAGGCTTTAGATATACATATTTTTTTTTAAATTCAGGCCTTGAAACATGTATATATTTTTAATTCCGGCCTCAGACACGCCTTGAAAAATATTCTTTAAAAAATCCACGCAACCATTTGTCCTTGAAAAAAATTATAAAAAATTAAAAAAAATCGACACCTTAAATAGTCCTTGAAAACTATTCTTTAAAAAATCTACGTCTTCTGAAATTTAACAAAAAAATATTTTTCAAAATATCCAGGTCCCGAAAGGACCTCCAATTTTTTTTTTAATTTCATCCAATTCGGCTGTAATTTTATTGGCTGTTGTTGATAACAATATTTTGGTAAAAATGTATTTGACATAGTGAGAAATTTGAACATAAATTACAGCACATTTGGTTGAAAAAATCCCCCAAAATCCTGTTTTGGGAGATTGTACCTAAATATAGATCGTTATTGATAAGAAGATTGTACACCTGGTGAGAAACCAAAATAAACCATATAGGAAAGTATAAGTGGACGGGGCCTGATTTGATATTTCCCTTCACCACTATGGGTATATTTTTAGGACTATTAATATGAAATATATATGGGAGCTATATAGACCGATTTTCTCGAAACTTGGCAGACATCACTCTATGCTCAATTCAGTACGTTATGCCAAATTTCGTGCAAATCGAAGGATATGTAGGGACTTTGGTGCACCATTTATATGAAATCGGACGAAACTATATAAGATTTTCACGAAACTTAGCAAATTGCCAAATTTCGTGCAAATCGAAAGATATATAAGTACTTTGTGGCACAATTTACATGAAATCGGACGAAACTATATATGGGAGCTATATCTAAATCTGAACCGATTTTCTTAAAACTTGGCAGACATCACTCTAGGCTTAATTCAGTACGATATGCCAAATTTCGTGCAAATCGAAAGATATATAGGGACTTTGGGGCACCATTTACATGAAATCGGACGAAACTATATATGGGAGCTATATCTAAATCTGAACCGATTTTCTCAAAACTTGGCAGACATCACTCTAGGCTCAATTCAGTACGTTATGCCAAATTTTGTGCAAATCGAAAGATATATAGGAACTTAAAGACCATTTACATGAAATGTGTGGAAACTATATATGGGAGGTATATCTAAATCTGAACCGATTTTCTTAAAACTTGGCAGACATAATTCTAGGCTCAATTCAGCACGTTATGACAAATTTCGTGCAAATGGAAGGATATATAGGGACTTTGGGGCACCATTTACATGAAATCGGACGAAACTATATATGGAAGCTATATCTAAACTGAAAACAATTTTCACGAAACTTGGCAGACATCATTCTAGATCTAAATGATTAGTCTGTACCAAATTTCGTGCAAATCGAATAGATATATTTACAAAAAATTGGACGAAACTATATATGGGAGCTATATCTAAATAAAAAAATACCGATTTTCATGAAACTTGGCAGACATCATTCTAGACCTAAATGATTAGGCTGT